TCAATTTCGTGAAGATTCTTCTTACTACAAATAATCTTTGAGCCAACAAAGAAGAAGAGTTTAAAGAAGGTGGTTTTGATGCTCAATTCATCTTAGCACACTTCAAAACTCAAGGATAAGTTTTCTCCAACCAAGGGAGTCTGATGTAGGACAAAATTATTCTAATTTTAAATTTGTATTTAATTCAAATGATGTATATTTCCATTTTTATTTTAGTATTTGTTTTTAAGGTTTTTGAGTTTTTATGGATTTTAGGGTTCGTTCTTTATATTTTTGGGATTTTAGAAGTTTTTTAGAAAGGTAGTTAGAGTGCCTCTGCCATATTTTGTTTTATCAGTGGTAAAAATGTCATTGCAAAATTTATTTTAATTAGGATTTTTTTCAATTAGAACTAGGATTTTTCGGGCTCTCAGTAAGATCATTTGGGATCTATGAAGAGAATTCAAAATAGAGGCTTGAGTAATATTTTAACAACATTGTTTCCTTGAATTCTTGTAAATTTTTGTAGAGCCATTGAAGTTAGGCTTATTAGCTTCCTTTTTTATTTTCAATCAATGAATGATTGGATTTTCTCTACCTCCGAAATTCATTCTACATCAGTGATATTATTTGTTTAGAAGAAAGTAGAACCATATTACCTTGCAAAAAGCCTGTATGTGTTGCATGATATACAGATGGAGTATCTACAGTCAGTTCTAAACAATTGGAAGGTAAGACTATTTCTTAATAATGGACATTCATGTGGCTGTCTGTGGTTGGTAGCAGATGGTGGATCCCGTAGCTGTCTGCCATATGCTACATATGCTATGTTCTGATGTACTTGCTCTTTACAAGTGTAGTAATGAACTTTGCTACCACTCTGCTAAGAAATACTGATTCTTTTAAAGGCAATCAGTTCTGTCATCGGGTAGAACTCAACCAAAATCTCAGTGTCTGTTTATTGTAGTCAAATTCAAGTGTCAGATCCTTCAGAATAGCAAAGTTGGAGTCTTATTTGTTAGTTACGACAGTGGGAATTGTGCAAGTGTAGCCGAATAATTTATATTTTGTCATCGAGCCATATATTTTGTTTGGGATGTCACGTTTGAGCCATATAATTGGTCTTCATTATCGTGCTCCTAACCATAACACTGATTAGGAGCCATATAATTGGTCTTCATTATCGTGCCCCTAATAATAACACAGATTAGAGATCCAATGCTTTGCATCTCTCTCGCTCTCTCATTGATTAGAGATCCAATGGCTGGTCTCTCTTTCTCTCTCTCTCTCTCTCTGTCTCTCTCGCTCTCTCATGTGTGCATGCACATGTGCAAGCTTGCATGTACGTGGCACTTGCATAATTATTTCTCATTCTAGTTCAGCCGTTCAAACTGACACCAACAAGTGTATAAATGCCATTCTAGTGCAGAATACATGTTTTGTTAGTAGAGTGCAATCTTTAAGCATTACATACATCATGATAGCAAAGATGGAATTTTTATTTAATAGTTGCACACGGTGGAATCGTATGGAAGTAGTATAATTTGGATTTTGTTGTTAAATTTTCTATCTTATTCCTTATATTGGTCGTCTTTACTGCCCCCTGCTCCTATGGTTTCTGTTTCCTTACTGCTATGTTGCATGATATTGATGTATATCAAGTTACGTATTACCTAAAAATGTTTTGCCTAGATTTAATTATCAACATTTTACCTTTCTAATGGAAGCTTTGCATTTTTCATCACATAACGCAAAAGTTGGGTTGTTGTTCTCTTAATTTCATTATGACATTGTTCTTGCTTGATGTGGGCAGAGAATTATCATCCTTGGTGGACCGATCGTGGCGGATGGAAATGGGTGGAGTTCTAAAGGAGGAACCTCTACGACTGTAGTATGAAACCATATTCTTGTCATTAGGTTCCTCATTTTCTTGTATCCCCTGTCTATTATCGTCCTGTAATTTCTGACCCATGTTCTCATCCTGAGAATTTGTGATGACATTTGGATAGTTAACATAAGGACAGTTTCTACGAGTTCATGTAGAAATGAATCGCCTCTTAAAAATCAGTTGGATATTTGAATCTAATTTTTAAGGACATGTAATATCTAACATGGAGATCATGAATATGAAAAAATAAATAAACTTTGAAAATTAAAAATAAAATTTTATTAAAAAAATTATTTTTAGATGGACCACTTATTTGTATTTATCTTTAAGATGGATGCTTTATACCTAGGGGACTGCAAATGTAGAAATGCGGTCCCTGCCGTATGAAACAATTTTCGTTAACATAATGCTGTTGGCCCTTCTCTAGACGCGCTTCGTTGTCGTTGTGTAACACAATAGTGTAAGAACCATATCACAACGTGATTGTTTACGTTCATTATTTACTTCTGATTTTGTCTAAATAATGCTGCAAATAAGCCCCTAAATCTGTTTTAACTTCACCAAAAAGCAAACCTATTTTCTCTCCACTTGCGTTTAGTGCCACTCACAATACACCTGCCCCGCAGAAGCCAAGCTTTTTTAGATGATTATATCTCGTAAATTCGTTTGATTTCCATGTGTTTTTTTTTTTTGGAAAATTTGGCCACAAAGAAAGAGAGATTTATAAGCAAGGACCCGATTTCTATGCGGCCAAGCCCACGTATGTAGAAATACGGCCTCTTAATAAATCTATTTTTAAGATGGATTTTAAAACTTAATTTTTAAGGACATGTAATCTCTAATATAGAGATCATGAATAT